CTAATTGATCCCAACATGTCATTTAACGCTAATGACATTAGTACTAGTCATCGTTTACCAACAACAGGTAACATGATCCCACCTATAATAGTTAAATTTACCAGACGAGACGTACGAGACAAAATATATCAATCGAAGCGTCGCCTCTATGAAGCGTTATTAGGGTCAAAATTCGAATACAAATTATGTTATCCTTGCACTCAATTTCTATTCTTTAAATCGAATAATAGAATTTGAAATGGCATAATAAAATTTGAAACGGCATAATAGAATTTGAAACGGCATAATAGAATTTGAAATGGCATAATAGAATTTGAAATGGCATAATAGAATTTGAAATGGCATAATAGAATTTGAAATGGCATAATAGAATTTGAAACGGCATAATAGAATTTGAAACGGCATAATAGAATTTGAAACGGCATAATAGAATTTGAAACGGCATAATAGAATTTGAAATGGCATAATAGAATTTGAAACGATGGCATAACATAATTTGAAACGGCATAATAGAATTTGAAACGACGGCATAACATAATTTGAAATGGCATAACATAATTTGAAATGGCATAATAGAATTTGAAACGGGCATAACATAATTTGAAATGGCATAATAGAATTTGAAACGGCATAATAGAATTTGAAACGGCATAATAGAATTTGAGATGGCATAATAGAATTTGAAATGGCATAACATAATTTGAAACGGCATAATAGAATTTAGCCTGAGTGTCAGACGAATAACGAATTATATTCGTCTGAGAACATTCGTCACTAATCTTGCCTCGTGACGTCAGATCGTTAGTCGAGATTTAGATAACAGAATGTCATTGGTCACTCTAAAATTGCATGTATTGTGCGTTTTTATTGGCTCATTGCTCTATAATGAAACATGTTGAATAAATTATCAAGATGGCGGAAATTCAATACGGCTACAATTTATGGAAATGTGCAATTAATAAGGTATTAAATGTATTTCAAGTACCTTCTTTGTATAAAGAACAGGAAGAGGCCCTTGCTCAATTATTTTCGAAGCGAGATGTTTTTATTAATCTCCCTACATCGTATGGAAAATCGC